TTCAATCTTTGTTGCATACATATCATACATATATTATCTTACCTATATTTGGAATTCATGTGCAAGCAATTCATGTGCAAGCTTTTATGCAGATTTCATCCATGAAATGATTTCATTTGGAAAACATATGAAAAAAAATTTTTATGTCATGTCCATTGAAATACCTATACAAATATTGATGATGCTCTCGTCTGGAGCAGTTTGAAAGTTTTAAAGTTTGTCAATGCGATAATATGAAAATTTTGAACAATCTTATTTATGAGGATTTTGGAGACTTACAAATGCTGTTTTGAAACAGTTTATGTATTATTTTGGTGTCTTTAAATGCAGACTTTGTGCCCATTTAATTGCTGATTTTGGAGCCCTTAAACACATTGTTTATGGTTGGTTTACCTACTATTTTTGGAGAAATGTACGTAGCATTTAGGTGTCGATTTGCACACTTGTTTGAATATAGTTTTAACAGTCTTTAAACACTGATTTTGAATCCTTTAAATACACATTTTATGAGACTATTTAGGGGCTAGTTGGGCTGCACTTCTTGGGTCCGTCTAGTGGCTTGGGGGCTTGATTCTATTTCATGGTTTTTTGTCCACACTTTTTTGAGTCTATTTGGTGACTTTTGAACATCTCTTTTTCTTACTCAAGTGGAAGACTTTTGAGCCGATCAAAACACTATATTGGAACAAACTTAAGCACTCTTCGCGAGAATCTATTTAATTACAGTTGTTGAAAGATTTAAACGTTTTTAGATTGATTCACGTGTTATTTCCCCATTGGATTTGTTAGTTTTGGAAGTGGGTCAACCTCCTCTTTTCGTTCGTTTTGTTATTTTTGCTTAATGGTTAAGTCATAAAGATGGGGATTGATGATTTAATTAATTAGAAGATATAGAAAACCTTAAATCACCTTAAGCATAAGTTGAATAGTAGGCTTCTTAGATTTTAGGAGCACACCCTAAGTGAAAGTCCATCCACCTAATTCTCAGCACAGACTTCCTAAATTTTAGGAGCACACCTTAGGTGAGCGTTCATCCACCTAATCCTCAGCATGATTTTTCTAGATTTTAGGAGCACATCCTAAGTGAGAGTCCGTCCACCTAATCCTCAGCATGGTTTTCCTAGATTTTAGGAGCACATCCTAGGTGAGAGTCCATCTATCTAATTCTCAGCATAGTCTTCTTAGATTTTAGGAGCACACCCTAGGTGAGCGTTCATCCACCTAATTCTCAGTATAGTCTTCCTAGATTTTAGGAGCACACCCTAGGTGAGCGTTCATCCACCTAATTTTCGAATAAATAACTAAACTAGACACTTGACCCTGATTCACAAACTGATCAAAACACTAGACACCAGGATGCACCGAGATGTAGTTCATGCTTCCTTAATTAAATCAACAGTGAAATTCCCTCAATGACTTAACCTACAATAAAACTCAATGCACCGAGATTTGAGCTTGGATATCACACTTAAATCCTTCTGGCAATTGGGGAAATTTGTTAATGCCACATATGAATCATCGGACTAGGATAAGTCTAGGGTCTAAGTGGCGAGGGCAATGACAACATTTCTTATGTGTGCTTAAACGAGAGATACGAAGTGGGATTATTAGAATAATATCTTCTATCTCGAGGATATTCAATAAGGGAGAGCGAAAGACATATGAAGTTTAGTGACGAGGAGAATTATGTGCTGGTTTCATTTCCCTTAAAAAAATTCATGGGTGGAAAGTTTTTTTCTTACCTCTCCTTGTTCCATTTGATTGTGGGACATTATCACCTTTCTGGTAACAATTAGAGCCTGAAGAACTTAAATCATTGCAAAGTCTCTAATCTTTTTTGTCCTTTTTTTCCATCAAGTATCTTTATAAAGGTCCACAGCTAGTCACTTGGATTGAGTTTAAGGACTGTCTTCTGTAGATTGTCGGGTCGGTAACTCTTGTTCAAGGTCGGGAAGCACACAGCCCAGCTCTGAGCCCCCACTTTTACCAATGTCTTATACCTAGTCCTGATATTTCACATGTGGCTAAGGGTTTCTTTTGCTCGTGATTTTTTTTACAACTCTTTTTTTCTGACTTTCACGCTAGGTTTTCTCGTCTTGTTTACTTTTCTTGCGAGTTTATTTAAATCTGGTGTAATTCATGCTACGCTTGCAATATTAATCACGCAACAGTAGTAGATGCTTAGGTACGCTTTTACAGTTTACTCAAAGCAATTTATTTTTCAAAATACATTTTATTTACCTGTGATTTGCTTACTCTGCATGCAAAATCAAAACTAAAATCAAAACCAAAACAAAACAGAATCAAACATTGACACCAAAACTGTGAAACATAAACTACTAATCTCAAATACTTAAACCTTGGAGCCGTCGCGACGACAGGAGCTTGAAGCCAACTTTGTGAGCAGCACGGTGAGGAATTCAGACCGAGCAGCA